TGTTGAGTTGTACACATAAAATTTTTGCACTTTACTATATGTATGTTATATTGCAATATAAAACATTAATACATGTATGAAGAAAGTAAAAAAAATATAGTGCTGGGTGAAGAGGATCAGAAACAGAATGACATCAATAACCCACTACAGTTTAATAATTAAAAAGCACATGCACATTAAGCAACAACACACATTTTGCAAGAACACAAACAAAAGAGACACATGAAGCACATTAAAATGGTTCCCTATGGGTCAAAGAATGGCAGTGAGAAATAGTGATAAAAGGGAACATGTCAATAATGAAATATGAGCAGGGCCTTCCTAGGATCACTGGAGATTATGTGCCATCCAAGAAAGAAAAGGAAGAAGAGGAGGAAAAGGAGTTAGACTTTGGGAAATCTGGGCAACCCACTGAGGTTTCTAGCACTGTCCAGGGGAACCTGGTTGGTCTCTGATTGCTGGGGCCCCAAGCTCTGTGCAGCACGCTTTACACACACATTACCCTGTCTCCTTTCCTGGGAAGGTACACATTGCTGACAGAGGAGACAGATCTCCTGAAGGACTGAAGCCCTTAAGGGGCCTGGATGTGGTCAGCTGGTAGCTGGGGCTCCACTGGAGTTCTAGGGAGAAGGGGAATTTGAGCTGAGGCTTACAGGTAACCTAGGATTTATTGCGGGTTAAGAAATGGACACAGAGGGAGGGGAATGTGGTGCATGGTGGAGTCAGGGAAATAACCCCATTAAGGAAAAAGGTTCATGGGCAGCTCATTCACAGGCCAGCATGTGCCAGAGCCAGACATCAGCACACATCCTCCATGAGACCTGCCATGTCCAATAGAACCACTCCTGCTTTTATTTAATCAATACTTTTAATTAATTCACTTTTTTTCTTAAATGTTTTAAAAGATAGCATCATGTAAAGATGTACAAATGGCCAATAAGCACATGAAAAGGTTTTCAATACCACTAATTATTAGGGAAATGCAAATCAAAACCACAATGAGATACCACCTAATACTCATTGGAATGGCTACTATTAAGAAATAGAGAAGTGTTGGCAAGGGTCTGAAGAAAGTGGAATCCTTGCACACAGTTGGTGGGAACGTAAAATGGGACAGCTACTTTTAAAAAAACCAGTAGGGCAACTCCTGAAAAAAATTAAGCATAGAATTACCATTAGATCTGGTAATTCCACTTCTGAGTATATATACGAAAGAATTGAAAGCAGGAAGGGATATTTATATGCTCCATGTTCATAGCATCATTATTCACAATAGCCAAACAGTAGAGGCAACACAAGCGTCCTATAATGAATAAACAAAATGTGTTATATACATACAGTGGAATGGATGAATGGCTGAACAAAACTTGGTGTATACATACAATGTGATATGATTCAGCCTTAGCAAAGGAAGAAATCTGACACATACTTCAACAGAGATGACACTCAAGGACATCACGCAAAGCAAGATAAACTACTCACAAAAGGACAAATGCTATATGATTCCTCTTATGCGGGTACCTAGAATCGTCAAAATCATAGAGACGGAAAGGAGAATGGTGGTTGGAGGAGGGGGAACATTTACTGGGTACAGAGTTTCAGTTTTACAAGATGGAAAGAGCTCTGGAGATGGATGGCAAAGGATATACAACGATGTGAATGTACTTAATGCCACTGAACCATACACTTAAAAATGGTTAAGATGGTCAACTTTATGTTATGTGTATTTTACCACAATATTTTAAAAGGTAGCATTGTATCACTATTACAAATGAAAAACCTTTTGTCCTGAAGGAACGGTCTCCTTAAAAGACAATGCTGCTCCCAAGTACAGGCTGGTGTGAATGTTGCCCTGCATGCTGGTGCCTGATGAGGCTGTGCATGGAGACCTCATCTTGCTTTATTTTAAGGGGAGATCAGTAAGTGCCAGGGAAGTGTTACAGGTGCTCTGGAACCAACTTTCTCCTTGACAAATTCAGAAGGATTGAGAGAGAGCCACTTCCTCCCCATCCAATTAACAAAGTGGTGACTGCCAGCTTCTACAATTGTTTTTTGTGCCAGGGGTCATGGGTATTTTACAGTTTGAAGAATCCTCCCTGGTAAGGACAAAGGAGTAGAGGCCATGAGCCTGTTGGGCAGGGGTAGACCAGGTCATGTCCAGAAAGAGGAGAAGGCGATCCTCACCCGGAAGAGCCCTACACAGGCCCTAGATGTGGCCCCCGGGCTGTGGGGGCAAGGAATTTCTAGGTCTTAGGTGCTAGAGCATGGGTACCTTGGCACCAACGACTCCTTGCCCTATGAAGGGCCCAGCTGGAGAGGGACCAGATCAGAGCACTCTTTAGGTGCCAGGCCCAGGGCCCCACTATTAGGGGCTGTACTTGCTGAGGATAAGTAAATAAGTAAAGGCCGTTCTCCATAGGCCAGGGTATGGTCTATAATGACTATGGTAGAGGGTGGAAGAGAGGGCAATGGAGGGAGAAATTGTGAAGGATGTCACCAAGACATCAGTAGTTGACATCTTTTTTTTTTTTCTTTTGAGATGGAGTCTTGCTCTGTCGCCCAGGCGGGAGTGCAGTGGCACGATCTTGGAGCACTGCAACCTCCGCCTCCTGGGTTCAAGCTATTCTCCTGCCTCAGCCTCCCAAGTAGCTGGGATTATAGGTGCGCATCACCACGCCCAGCTAATTTTTGTATTTTTAGTAGAGACGGGATTTCACCCGTTGGCCAAGCTGGTCTCAAATGCCTGACCTCGTGATCCATCCGCCTTGGCCTCCCAAAGGGCTGGGATTACAGGCGTGAGCCACTGCGCCTCGCCAGTAGTGGACATCTTAAGTTTTAGCCTGCACTGCACGCATACCCTTTCCTGGAAACAGTGCCTCAGATTTTTGGTGGGGAGCTACCTCTCTTCCGGATTTTCAGGATACTTGGTTGTGCAAAGCTGACTCCACCCACTTCCCGCTATAGGAGACAGAAGACTCAACCCTGGCTGGTCAGAAGACGCCAAACTTTCCCCCTCCGCCTCCCCACAGAGATCCCGTAAGTTCCTGAATTCAGCTGCACTGCCAACAAGCCCCCTTCTTCCTTTTAGTTGATACTTTAGAGCGATACTTTTTAGTTGATACTTTAGTATCTTTTAACCGCCTTGGAGGACAGGGGAGAGGGAAGAGACAGAGAGAGAGAGGAGAGAGAAAGGGGAAGAGAGACACGGGGGGAGGGAGGGAGAGAGAGAGGGAGAGAGAGAGAGAGAGAGAGAGAGAAAGAGAGAGAGAAAGAGAGAGAGAGAGAGAGAGGCACTCTGTGTGCGCGCGCGCAGGCGCGCGCTTGGGAAGAGGGGTTCTCACGGCAACCTCTGGTCCTGGAGTATTTCACCTAGTCACTAGAGCAGGGGTTCCTCAACCCCCCCACCCACCACGGCCACGGACCAGCACCGGCCCAGGGCCTTCGAGGAACCGGTGAGTGAGCAGTAGGTGAGCGAGTATTACCGGCCTGAGCTATGAGCTCCGCCTCCTGTCAGATCAGCGCGGCATTAGATTCTTATAGAAGCGCGAACCCAGTTGTGAACTGCGAGTGCGAGGGATCTATTGCACGCTCCTTATGAGAATCTAACGGCTCGGTCTCATCCCGAAACCACCCATCTCCTTTCAGTCCCTGGAAAAATTGTCTTTCAGGAAACCGGTCCCCCAGTGCCAAAAAGGTTAGGGACCGCTGCTCTAGAGGTCTTTCCCAATCACTCAAGTGCCCCTGCAGGTCCGGGCCAGAGACATCCTCCATCCATGATGTCGACTGCATGACTTGCAGGTGACCAGTTGGAATGTTACATCTCATGACATTTAATTTTAAAAATTTATTTTAAAGTTACAGCTTTTTTCTTTTGTAGTCTGTTGTCACACATTTCCATACGCCCTGAGAGAGAGCTCCCGGGCTCCAGTCCCTGCTGCTATAACGCTAGGAGGAGAAACAGCCAGCGCGAGCAGATGACCCCGCCACCTGGGATCTCGTGCAGGCGGGCGGGAGCATACAGGGCCTCTCACGCATGCGCGCGGGGCGGGGCTGCGCCTCAGGCCTGCGCGTTGCCGCTAGACCAGCGGGGGTGGGGGGGGGGGCGCGGCGGTAGCGGGTGCGCGCCTCAGGCGGCAGCCGCGCGAACCACTTTGTGTTCTTCTGACCCTCCTCCCGGCACTTCCTCCCGTGCCGCCGTTCCCCGCCCCCGCCGCGTCCTTGCGAGGCGCCTCCATTCGCCGGGACCGACCCGTGGGTATGGAGGGGGTACGCCCCTACGGCCCTCCCAGGACCCCGAAGAGACGCCCGCGTGCGGCCTGAGCTACCGCCCTCGCTTAGAGCCCATGGGCGCGTCCCCACGGGCGGGCCGCGGACGTCAGGGCGGCGAGCGGCGGGACCGCGGCGCCCTGGAGGGCCGCGCGCGCGCGCTCCCGCTACAGTCCGGGCCGCGCCCGCCCCGCCTCTCGGCGCCGGCTCCGGAGCCCGGTCCGCGAGCGGCGGTGGCGGCCGGAGGGACCATGAGCTGCGCGGGGCGGGCGGGCCCTGCCCGGCTCGCCGCGCTCGCCCTGCTGACCTGCAGCCTGTGGCCCGTGCGGGCGGACAACGCGAGCCAGGAGTACTACACGGCGCTCATCAACGTGACGGTGCAGGAGCCCGGCCGCGGCGCCCCGCTCACGTTCCGCATCGACCGCGGACGCTACGGGCTTGACTCGCCCAAGGCCGAGGTCCGCGGCCAGGTGCTGGCGCCGCTGCCACTCCACGGAGGTGAGTGCTGGGCCGGGGCCGGCGGTCTGAGCGCCGCGGGCGGTAGTCGCTGAGCCCCGCGGAGGCGGCGGGGCGGGGGTCCGCGGCCCTGACTCGTCCGCTGCTCGCTGCCCGGCGGACTGCCCCTTCCAGGGTCGAAGCTTCTGTCGTGGACAGCCCGGCCTGCTGCCGTGGGAACCAGGCTCTGGGAGCTTGATTGGGTTTTCCCCTTCTTTAAAAAAGACTTGGAACGGTCGTCTTTGCGTTCAGGCAGCTTGTTTGCTGGAGGGCATTCAGCTAGGAGTTTGCAGGGACAGCGTAGACAAAGGAGGTGGTGCAAGAGCGCAAAACTAATTCATGGGGAGGATATCTCAGCCTGTATTTTGGAAGCGGCAGGTTTGTTCCTGAAATCACGGACCTAACGCTGCGCTAGATTGCAAAGGATGAGGCCCTTTTCTAATCTAAAAACCTGCCTTTTTTCTTAAGTGGTAACGGGGGTGGGGGGGGGGAGGGCGGGGGATGTAAAAGGAAAATGGACATCTTCCCTGTTGCTTTTGGCTCTTGTTCTTGCCCTAGTAGTTTTACTGTAATTTGACGCCTGAAAATGTCACATTATGAGGCTCTGATACTAATCGGAACTACTAGTCAAGGCTTTTCAGGTCACGGGTGCCGACCAAAAGGGAAATAGGTAATATTTTCAAGAATTGTCTTTGAAACCGTTTGGCTTAACATCATGTTTTCCTATAAACATGGGCTTTGTTTAGTTATTTGATGTAAATATGTATTTGTTTAAATTATTGGTCATGGTTTGAAGGAAACGTTTTCCACATCATGGAATATGATTTTTTGGTTTGGGGCCCACTTTGAACTTTTGGAAAATATCTGCTATTGTCTCAGCCCTCATTGTCACCCTGAGAATGCTGAGAGGGGATTTTTCTTTTCTAAACTGCTGTTTATGTTAGGATGACCTAAAGTAGGCAACCTAAATAAAGTAATGGTTTGTTTTTACAGTCAAAATATTAACTATCATGCCCCTCTGAGGTCTATATTTGTATGCCAAAGTGCTAAGCCGTTTTCTTCTTTGAGGCAGTCTGGCTGGGGAAAAAGAATCACATAAGGCCTTTACTGTAGCCTGTCCCCCAACTCAGACTGGGCTCTTATTAAAAGGCCGTTTTACACCAGTAATCAGGTGCTTAAGGTGCATTTCTCATCTCCACTGTGTTAAAAACGGCAATTAGGGTCCCAGCTTGGCCGTAGAAACAACTTTTGTCTTGGGTTCATTCAGTAAATATTTGCGTTCCTGCTCTGTGCCAGTCACTGTGGTTGAGATGCATAGTGTTGCCAGACTCTGGCACTAACAATGGTAGCCTCTTTTCTAGTGGGGAGAACCGTGAGGGTCACGTGGAAGGGTAGAAAGAGGAAGAGAGAGGCAAGCTGTTCTGGAGCAAGAGCTGGCCCTCTGCAGTGTTGTGAAATCTGTGGTTTGTCTTTGAGGCTTGGTTCCCTCAAGCACCCCAAATCCATGGTCTGAACTTAAGATCCTTGCCTCCAAGTGTTCATGTGCTTCAACTACTTGTTGCTTGCCTGTCACCCCAAACAAAAGCCCCATCTTAAGAAAGCTTGTTTTAGGTATTTCAGTAGAAGGATATTGGGAACTAGCTCATGTGTATTGGTTAGTCCTATTCCCCTCTCACTGTGGTGGCAGCATTGTAGGATTAAAGGTTCTGAGTCAGGCCTGAACTCTGCTTATATTGTGTGACACTGGAAAAGCAGTTGTGCCATTTAGCCTCAGTTTTCTCATCGGTAAAATGGAATGATGAAGTGTACATCTTTTTAGGTTGTTGAAAGGTTTACATGGTTCCTTAATTCTGAAAAGAGGAGATTTGTTAACCTAAAGGAATCTCTCAATTGGTGGGGTTTTAGACACTGCAACAAAATGAACACATTTGGACAGTGTATGAAGACTGAGTATGAGGTCATTCCCCCTGAGTTTTAGTCTCCTTTCCTTCATTCTTGGGGTCATTTTGTGTCCCTCCCATACGGGCTTGCTCCAGGTTTTCTCTTGGTGGCGGTGGTGGGGGTGGGGGAGGGGGATCCCTACAGGTGGTTTCAGTCTCTCTTTCTACCAGCGGTCTTCACACAGATGATCTTTTTAGTCCAGCAAATATTACGTGAAATCCTGTGTGCCAAGTACGACAAGGCATTGGTGAAGGAGACGCAACAGCAGTCAACGAAACAGATTTTTAAATGCCTGTCTCTGTGAAGCATAGCTTCTACAATTTTGAATTGGGGAGAATTCTTGACATGTTTATTGAGGACTTACTGTGTGTTGACACCTAAGCAAAGTATTATTCAGATTACACACAAAGTTATGAGACAGGTCTTGACCCCAAAACAGCTGTGGCCAGCATGTGAAATTCATGAAAATTCATTTTGAGGGTGTTAGGTAGAAATGAACATAAAGACAAAAGAACTTTATAGTTTTCCTGGAGTTTAACATGATGGCTCATTTTCAAGCTGTGGATTGATTTATGAAATCAGAAACCTTTCGCTTTGTTTTGCAGTGCTACTATCAATTTGGCATGTGTGAATTTCTGAATAAGATTTATTTGTCCTATCCCTTTAAAGAGCAAATAGTCAATTTTTTTCTTAGGCACTTTGGTATTTTAAAAGTATGTTTTGGCAAGTGCTATACTTTATGTAGTATACCTTATGAGATACTTTATAAACAAGTGTACTTTAAAAATATGTCTTTGTCATTAAGTCGAATGCATTGGTGGGTAGAGAATCATTTGCTGGAGGCTAACAAATTTTATATTTTAACTGGTAAAGAATTTATGTTAAGAAACAGAGTTTTGAAGGAGCATGTCTTGTATTTATGCACAGATCACGGTTGCTTTCTTATTACTTACTCAAATGGTAAGCTTAGAACTGGAAGCAAAATATTTAGTATCTTTGCAGAGAAGCCTCGCTAGGGTCTGCTATGGAGCAGACATTGTAAATGTGCTTTATGTGTGTGCACACTAACTTTTTGTTTGAGCCCAGAGTGGGGGTTGGGAAAGGAGAAAGCCCTGTGTTGATTATGTATGCTGATGTGCTGTTGGGGAAGGATTTAACATCAGCCACTTCTTGCTTTGCATAGAAATTTTCAGGATTAGATGTTACAGCCTTCGAGAATCATTTTACCAAATAATAAACCTTTTTTTGCTGACTTGCTTAGGAATACAATAAAACTAAAAAAAATGAATCTTAGGTTTTTGTGTTTAAAAAAAGTAATCCTGTTGGATGAAGCCTTTAATGGTTCCTTTAATGAATCTGAAACTGGTTTTTAGGAATTCTCATAAACAGTGAAGGAGATTGATGTAAAAACAGGAGTTTGTGTGAAAGGGATCATGTAATGTTAGAATTCATAATGGCAAAGGCAGGGACTCTTGGACACAGATTTCAAAATATCCAGAGAAAACGGACATATGATCATGAGAGCAAGGGCTCTGAATATTCAAAAAGAGATGGAGGCTCTAAAAATCAAATTTTAACATAAATAGCTTGGCAAGAGAAAAGGGGATGTGTGTGTATGTATGTATGTGTGTGTATGTATTTTTATATACATATATATTTTTACATACTGTGTTTTTCCTTCACTTTTGAGTGATGATTTCCATTAGCCTATAAATATTTGAATATTTTTTAAAAACTACTTGATCGCTTCACCAAATCCCGATCATGCTACCACCCCATTTCTCTGTTACAGCAAACCTCTACATTTACCGCCTCTGATTTTTCCTGCTGCTGTTCTTTTTGTGAAGGTCTTCGATTGCCATACCAGTGATTTTGATAAAGACGTGGCATATATGACAGATATTTTTGATGACAGGGTCAGAATTGCAAAGATCTCAATGTGTAGAAAGATGAGCTATATAGTTTTTAAAAAAAGTTAATAGGAATGAAGACATAGATTTGGGTTAAAAAGAATCGCCTTCATGGTGGGGAGTAGAAGGGAGTGAAGGCTTAGTTAGCTACCTATCACATGACAAAGCTTGTGAGCTCTCACTGACCTCACCCCACCGTGCACTGCATTTGGGCCTCAAGACTAGGTAACTTGTAAGATCCTTCCCTGAACAAGTTGTGACTGTAAATTAGTAAGACACATATTTTTATTTTAAGGACAGGGTCTTGCTCTGTTGCCCAGGCTGGAATGCAGTGGCCTAATCATACATAGCACACTGTAGCCTTGACTTCAGGGAGCCATTGATCCTCCTGCCTCAGTCTCCCAGGTAGCTGGGACTGCAGGTGCACACCACTATACCTGGCTAATTTTACAAATTTTTTTGTAGAGACAGGGTCTGTCTTAGCCCAGGCTAAGAAATTTTTTAAGCAAACTTGCTAAACTATACCCATTTTGGGAGAGTGTTGTTCCTGTTAAACCAGTCATATTGGGAGGAGGGTGTATTAGTCTGTTTTCATGCTGCTGATAAAGACATACCTGAGACTGGGAAGAAATAGAGGTTTATTGGACTTACAGTTCCACATGATTGGGGAGGCCTCAGAATCATGGCAGGAGGCAAAAGGCACTTCTTTTTATTTATTTATTTTTTTTGAGACTGAGTCTTGCTCTGTCACCCAGGCTGGAGTGTAGTGGTACATTCTGCTCACTATAACCTCTACCTCCCAGGTTCAAGAGATTCTCTTCTCTCAGCCTCCTCAGTAGCTGGGATTACAGGCGCGTGCCACCATGCCCAGCTAATTTTTTGTATTTTAGTAGAGACAGGGTTTCACCATGTTGGTCAGCTGGTCTCGAACTCCTGACCTTGTGATCCGCCTGCCTCCACCTCCCAAAGTGCTAGGATTACAGGTGTGATCCACTGTACCCCGCCTATATAGTTCTTAAAAGAGAAAGTCCAGTAGTGTTTTGGGACATGCCCACATTAGTGGGATGAAGGCATAGTCTTCAGGGCTAATTCTTTTGTTTTGTTTTTGTTTTTTGAGACGGAGTTTTGCTCTTGTTACCCAGGC